TGTACATATTTACATATTCTGGCTTCAAATTATAAATTTAACCTATGAGGTCACTCAGGAACTTTTATTGAATTCCTCTGTGGAATCAGTCATAAATTTCCCAAGATATCCTGCCTTCATGCAAGTTCTCAGGTCTCCAGTGTGTCTCCCATGCTTGAGGCCAGAGGAGAACAGTGTGCGGTGGTGATTAAGCCTGAATGTGTGCGGTTAATAGAGTGTAGGGAGCCAAGCAGCAGTGGGTCCAGGGACAATAGCAGGAAGAGAGCGCAGGGAAGGGGCTGCCGGTCGCCGTGACCCCCTGGATATTGTTCTGCTGCCCACCAACATTTGAAGGATGGAGGGGAGGAGTGAAGGACAACGTGTGAGGATGAGGAGGGTAATGATGGTGGTAAGAGTGGGGGTAAAAAAAAAAAAAAAAAAGGAAATAGCGAATAGGAAGAATGAGGGAGATAAGGAGGAAGAGAGAATGGACATGCAGATGAGTGTGTTGGAAGTCAGCAGAAACATACAAAAGCGGTAAATGTGTGTGCGAGTAATAACTAGGAGTGGAATGCAGGTCGCCAACAGACTGACAGCTGACAGACAGGCAGCCAAAAAAGCTCAACCCGCCCCCAGTGTCGCTTCACAACCGGAGTCCTGCTCTGCGGCACGTACACTTCCAGACACAGGGGCCGACCAGTCTGTAATATCCCAGCTCCAGGCTCCGGCTTTGTTCCCCTGTTGGACTGCTTTGTTCACAGAGCAGAGACCGGATGTCTCCTAAATGACTAGACGCTTTCTCCCTCTCTGCGTGGTCTCCCCCCTGCCCTTCTCTTCCCTTTCTGGTGCCCTCCATTCTTGAAGGAGGATATTTTGGATTAAGTCACAGATGATGTTGAAGTAAAAAATAAAATGTTGATTTCAACCATTTTGAAAGGAAATTCTCTCAGAATTGACATTAACTAAAGAGTATACGTCAATATATGTTACGACTCATATTGCATCAATGGGAAACTAGACTCACATTTTGGGAACTATTCTTTTCTTGACGTTAAATGAGAGGCTAGTTTCCTCTCCTATCTGTTCAGTAAATATGAAGCTATATCCACGTAAGGCTAACTGAATTTAGCTTTAGCATGAACTGAAAGCATGAAAAGATATCTTTCCTGACTCTAACTTATTGACTTATTGGGGCAGTTCTTTTTGTTGTCTTCATGTTGTTTTACTTTTTGACTGGTTTTCAGTCTTTATGCTAAGCTAAGCTAACCAGCTGGTGGCTTAAAGGGATCTCTTCAGTTGATTCTATTCAAGAAGGTAAATGAGAGAGGAGAACCTTATTGGAAAAATTGACATTGCTTCAGTTTTTCTTTCTGCCATGGAGCGACACGCATCTTCATAAAGCCTTAACCCTACATGACCAGCCCTGTGGTTGTTATATATTATTAAATGAAAGTTCACAGAAAATTGTCTGTTTTGGTTTGCGTCCAAAATGGCAGCATGACGAGCCACAAGTAACCCTTGACTGACACCGCACATCCTGCGATGCACCTATAGCACATATGCACCTCGCAATCGCGATCGTGAAACAATGCCCTGATAAATGAGTGTTTCCAAAAAGTAATAACAACAACTCTTTAACACACTGTATGTTGATCACTAAATGTCTTTTAGATATACTGTAACCCAGCTGAGATTGACCCTTATCACTACTCCTTGTAACACTGAGCTGACATGAGCTCGGCTGCCATCACATTACATCACAGGAAAGAACATCAGGTCAAAACAGTTGCACATGTTGTACTGAAACAGAAGCACCCACTCGATTTCAACCTCCCACAAGTTCAAGTTTTATGACTGAATACAGATTTTCATCAAAATAGGTCAAGAAAATGTTTGTGAATCGTGAACTAATAACATTTTAGTAACAAACTATTTAGATGTTACCATAAAAATGAACAACATGCTGTGCACAGATAATTAGTCACACAAAGCTGTTGCTGAGTGGAAAAAGCAATCACTTGCTAGCATTATTTCAGAAGCAGTGGGAGTGTTAAGAAGGCCCACACACAGGCCCACGAGTTGTGTCTGTCACAACACCGAGGATCGTGCTGATATGATCGTGTTGATGAGCCAAACAGCATGTGAGGGGGATTGAGTGTCCACACCAGTGTACAGTATGTGTCATGAAGGTGGAAATAGTGAGGGATATTCAAAAAATCTCCTGTTTTAAGTGGGAAAACGTCTCTTAAATGTGCCAGTTTAATCCTGTTTTTTTTTTTGTTTTTTTTAATCTTTTATGGAAGATAGAAAGCCTCTGCTCAAGATTTGATGTAATCCAATGGGGTTGATATCAACTGTAAAGAATCCTTAAGTTATTATCTCAATCATCTGTGTCATCTTGTTCCTCTTCATTCTCCTTCTCAATTTTGTTTTGTGGCTTGAAATTATTAATGACCAAACTGAATCCTTTTCCGAGGAATACGCAAAAAAAAAAAAAAAACTTGCCGTCTCCTGTAAATTTACAGTCCAGTGGAGGATTCAGTTTAAAATATGTATGAATGCTTTTGATGATCCTGACACTGGACGTGAAGATGGCAGTGTTGTATTTGCAAGTTGGCATTCCAGAGAGGCCGGAGAGGGTGCAGCAGAATCTGAGGGCAAAATTAGGAAGCCCTGTTCTCACAGTGCTGCTCACACACGCACACACACACACACACACACACACACACACACACACACACACACACACACACACACACACACACACACACACACACACACACACACACACACACACACACACACACACACACACACACACACACACACACACACACACACACACACACACACACACACACACACACACACACACACACACACACACACACAACACACACACACACACACACACACACACACACACACACACACACACACACACACACACACACACACACACCAGCGAGATTTTTTTCCACATCCCAGGGCTATTTGGAAGTCTATTCTGGCTGCTGGAAAGAGGAAGTGAACGTTGGCACATAGTGTGGAACGCAGACAGGGACTCAGGATGATGTAGCTCGGGCATACAGAAGCTGGAGGTGGTGACTCGGGGAAAGAGATGTGTTTTGTTTATACATGTATAAATGTGGGATGATACTTTTTCTTATAAAAAAATAGAGCTAACATCCCTGTGTAAAACTTAAGATTTCCACCTCTTCTTAGATTTATAAAATGTTTCTCTCATTTCAAATGTGATTCCTGTTGATACATTTGACATTGGTACAGGTAAACATATCCATTTGCTCAACTGGCATGACACTAAGAATAACTTTTGGAGATGATCCACACTGTTCAATTTAAGAGTTTTTTTTATTACGGTGTGGTTCCTCTAAAACTAGCCCTGGACGTAGAATTCTTAAGTGCCCTCATTTTGTCCTGAGAGCTGTCCTGGACAAAGAAGGATGTTTTCATTGGAAGGCAGAAAAAAAAAATTACCTATGCCCGAATCAGCTGGCAGAGCTTCTGGGATAATCCAGAGAAGGATATCGGGTACAGATGGGATATAATGACAACCTATATGAGTCAGTCTGAGGTTGGGAAAAGCTCAGGAATGTGAGCGACAAAAGGAGAGAAATTGTGGATAACACAATAGATGCAGCTCCGTGTCTCTGACCTTGCCGTGTCCCCATGCTACCACACATCCGATCCAAAGCCAACCAGACAAACCCAGTTGACCCCATCTTTCATTTCGCCCTAACTGAATAAACGGAAATGGAAAATCTCGGCCCAGAAACTATACAATAAGGAAGCCATTTTGGTCGCACTGCTAGGCCATCTGAAACAGAATGCCATTAAAAAAAACGCTGCTCCACTCAGCAGCCAAGAGGGGAAGGAAAGAGGAAGAAACTGTGGCTCAAACACTATGAAAGATGGAAGACATTTTGGCTCGTAACGCAGGGAAGGAAGAGACGAGGGTGACATCGGTGAACCCGAGTGAACTCTGCCACCGAAATGAAAAACAAATCACATTGAAAACACAATGCTTAATACTTGGCTGCCCATAGTGGTCTAACCAGCTGCAAAACTCAACACAAATATTTTTTTTAGACATGTCTATTTGACTACAGAGGGCAAATTTAGAGAAGCATTTTGCAACTATAATCAACAAGAAAGTCAAAGTCTGAGCCTGCCATTCAAGTGAAAAATCAGTTATAGTTCTGTTTCTTTACTACAACGTTAGTCTAAGTAAACTGTAGGTTAGGAGACAGTGTCTGGAGAAAGATAAAAGGGAAGACTTTGTAGCTAACTCAGACTCCTATAGCCACATTATCTTCATCTTAACTAAGAATATTTGTTTGCACAAAGACATGTTCCTAACTTCTCTGAAGTAAGGCCTACATTCATAGAGAAAGTAAATGAGAGAAACAACTGCATTTACTAATCATAACTCTATCAGAAGAACATGTACATGTTTTAAATCAACTTCAAACGATACATAACATAAGATGTCTTAAACTGACACAGAAACAGTCATTACATTACTTTTCTGTTGATACGACAGGCTTGTTCAGTAAATGCTCTACATACATAAACCCACCAATGATCAGAGTGACATTCTGTGCATGGTTCATGCCTCTTCCAACTCACTACATAATCTCACCACCAGGTGGCAGCAAAGGATTATTTATAATAGACAAGTCCCATTCACAAGATTATGGTCATCTAAATGGACTAATACCATCTTTATTCCTCTGCAGAAAGGAGGCCCTACATGATGTTTTCCCTCTTATGTAGAAAAGGTCAACACTACTATGTTTTTATATTGTTTATTTTTTTGCTGTATTGTATATCTTACATTCTCGTGATTTCTCTATGAACCTCAGTACAGCCCCAGAATTATGTTGTTATGTTTTCATCACACCAGCAGAGGTCGCTCTCTAACAACTTATCAATTGTTCGACTGGTTAAAGGTGTTTTCTCTGTGCAAAGAATAATATGAAGAAGAAAAAGTGACTTACAGAGCGCAGATTTGGAAGAAACCTTTCTATGTCATTCATGTCTATACCGTCATCCTCTTCAAACTTGTTCCTGTTCATCCTAAATCAGAAAAAAACAAACAGAGACAAATTCAGAATCAGTTGATTGCACCCATCAGGAATAGAAAACTCAGACAGTCTTAATCCTATACACAAAACTACGGTACAACTTTACACTGACAAAAGCCCAAGGCCTAAAGCAAAGTCTTACCCCTCTCTGTCAATGTGAGGCAGGTGTTTTGGCGTTCCTCTTAAGTGTTTCCTGTGGAAATGGCTGAAGTCCAGCTTCTCTGGCTGCACGTCCCAGCCTGCACCTCTGTAACCAAGAGCCAAGGTAAAGATTAGATACATCCTGCATCCACGCATTACTACAAGGATTGAGCAGAAAATTCTTCCAGACACTGTCTAGTTAGTTAATCTCAGAGGGAAAGCCTTAAAATCCCTCCAGAAATTGGTTTCAAATTGGAACCGTTATATTTAAAACGAAGACATTCATATCATTTGTTTTCACTGAGCAACTCTGCAGTTTTGTCTGTGTTCACCAAACAAAGGAAGTACATAAATACAGAAACGACTCAATGTGCAACAGCCAAAACTATTCAAACTTTAGGCAGGTGAGTTCATATTATTTATAGTATGAAGCTGATTGATAACAGTAGGTTAACAGGGACTGTAATTTCCATAATCAGTTGATAAACACTGATATAGAAATCAAACGTAAGCATATCTTAACATGGGGAAATATGTATCTGTGCCACTGTTTGGTGTAGTATCTTAACTAGACATGTATTCTTTTTCTACATTTCCTCAATTGAGCTAACACTTGTGTCCATGACACTTTACTCATACTGTACAAACACAGGGAGAGAAGTTTATGGTCGAACAGGTTGGTAATAAACACTTCAGCACAATGACTGAAAGAGCTGAGTAGAAAATCACTAACACTACAACAAACGGCCAACCAAACAATGTCAACTCAGTTATAATATAACTTCCAAACATCATTTTCTACCTCTGCTTCTTGAAGCCACAACAAACCTCTACAAAGCTCTAACTAGGAGGACATAAATAACTCCTTTTCAAATCTAACTAGTGTCCATTTTTATTCAGTATTCAATCTGAACTACAGTTAATCTCTGTCTGCATGGAGGGGGGGGGGGGGGGGCTGCTTACATCATCCCACTGTGCCGGCTCCTTCACTCTGTGCTCAGATGTGCCAACGTGGCCGGATCTTAGGTAGCAGAAGCTGCTGTTCAGCTGTTACCATGGCAACCAGATCCTCCCTTCAGTGTAACTGATTTGTGTCTCACTCATTCTCTTTCTTTCCTCCTCTATCCCACGTCTAAGTTTTATGTCTAGCTCTTGTTTGAGAAATTATTTCATCACACAGGAGTCGAGAAAATGTTTTCTCACACAGATTACGCTTTGCTAACAAGATTTCAAGCACTGACACTTGGTGTTTTCAGAGGAAGTACTCAAGCCCCTGGTGAATTGATGTTCTGTAAATGTGGCTGTTGGCAGACACGCTGAAACTAAAACCGTTTCAACATCAGCACAAAGTCCACAGTCAGTTAGAGTCAGAGTTTACTGAGCCATCTAAAGGCTCATTTTTCAAATATTATTTTCTTTGAATGCCAGCAATTATTCTGATCTTAATGAAAAAAAGGGAAATACATTTTAGTTAAGACTAGCAAGGTCAAGCTGACATGAAGTCAAAGACCTGATGTCACAAAGTGTTATACGAAGAAGATGAAAGAAACACATGCAAGCCACAGAAAGCCAGATATAAGATAAAAACAAAAGCAGCCAGAAGCACCATATACATAACAGTTTAAGCATGAGCAAGTTCAAACAAAAGGGTCTGAAGTTGCTTGTGTGTCAACAGATCTTAAACCCTAAGGGAGTGTTGGAGCTACAACCTCAAATGTACAGTCTCCTTTGGTTTTAAGTCTGAAGAGCTGAAAACCAACAAGTCCTGATTAGAGGACCTCAGGGTCCTGCTGGAATGTAAGGCTGTAGAAGAACTTTGAGGCAGACAGGTGCCTGTCAATGCAGGGCTTCAAAAGTGAAAATAAGAACCTTGAACTGGATTCTAAAATGTATGGGAAGCCAGTGTAGTGACAACAGAGTTGGTGTTACATGTGGCCTTATGGATGACTTTTGTAATAATTGTGGGATGTTTTACTTAAGCCAGGTGAAAATTGAATTACAGTAGTCCAAGTCGGATGAAAAGAAGGCTTGAATAATATTCTACATCATAACTAGAGGAAAACACCATGATACTCACTGAGGCACTCAAGTAACTATAGATAGACCTAAGACCCAGCAGACTGTACATCATATCAAGTCTGAGTTATTGAAAGGCACATACCCGTGTGAGTCCATTGTGTTGGCAGCCCATATGTCCGTCCCCAGGATGTCAAAGGATCCTTCTCTGTTACCATTCTAGAGAAGAAGAAAAAAGAAAGGTTGATACTTCATTTATACCTACTTAACACTTCTTACCAGTCTATAACTTCCCATCTTACATAAGAGACACACCTCTGGTAGATCCTTTCAGTTTAAAAAAAGGTGCAAATAAAAGATTCTGAAGTAGATTTTTTTTCAAGCAAGTTACCTAGAAAAATGTTCCTGAGACTGTGGGGTGTATCTGTACACATACAGTTATCCTTTAAAAAGATTGGGGTGATTGAGGGAGACATATAGAAAAAGCAAAAACAAAAACAATGCTAAATTTAAAAAAACCTGACTTTTAGTCCCGATTACAGGGCAAACTCTGAAAGAAATTCCAAGTGTTTCTCCCACATAAACAATACAAGGGCAGGCCCCCAAGCATATTTCCCGACCATTTTTTATATCCATATCAGATCCCCATCAGTGATCACAAACTCCCCTCCTCTCTTCTATCAGGTCTGATAACCTGCCGTGCCTGACACATGCTGTGCAGGTGATAAGAGACAGAGACGTCTTCTCCTGTCAGTGCACTGATTGAGGAACAACGTCTCCGTATATTATGAACCTTCTCATTCCACTGTCTTAATTGATTTTGTGCAGTTTCGTGCTGCTGATTTCATTCTGCACTCAAAGGTTTTAGATCATTTTGAGTCACTATGTTATTAAAAAGCCTCATCCACACAGGGACCCCCAGTTGTGATAACGGAATATTAAGTGAAAATGTTCAAAATGTGAGTTGTGTTAATTGGGCGTCTTTACTGATGAGTAGCCTGATGTCATAAGATTGGATGATTACAAGTATAGATAAACAGCAGGAGGCAGGGCGGGGCATGCTACTGTGTGTTTCGAGAGAAGCAAATTTCTGCCTGTGTGTGTGGGTGCGTGTTTTAATAATAAAACTGATAGATGGTAAGGTGAGCAGATTAAAGTTGTTTATGAACAATTACTTTAATAAGTAGGAGAAAAAAAGCAACATTATTATTAAAAGCTGATCTCATTTTAATTGTTAACCTCATCCCCTGGTCACCACAGCCACAGGAAGACACTGAACCAGTACAGCGTCATTCTGTGGGAATCACTGCTTCCCATAAGACAACCACACATTAAACCATCTTGCATGGTAGATGCCCACATTGTGGTGACTTGTGGTCACATGTTGAGGTCATTTTGGACCAGAGTGCTTGCAGAGCACAATGAGCACATGACTTAGCTACAGTATGAGACTCAGAGTCTCCAACATTTTCCCTTTCATTTCTTTCAGAGGTGATAAACTCATTTAGCATACACACAGATGTATCTGTACCTTTGCAGGGCCTTTGAACTGGTTGTTTCTGCCTCTGCTGCCGGAGCGGGAGCCAGATCCTGGTCTAGACCCTGAACTGGGTCTGGAACCTGTGCTGCCGTTACTGCTGTGTTCCCACTCGTCCTGCAGAGTTAAAAGAAGATACAAAACACAAGGGCTGAGTTTTATGTTTGAGTAAAGTGTTTGTCAATTTATATTTAACACATAAATATTTAATTAATTTGTAATTCTAATTTTACAGTTAACCAAAAATACCTCTCCGCCTCTCCTGGTGTCTTCTTTCTGTTTTTTTAAGGACCGAAGATAATAAATGAGTAAGTTTGCTTAACTGGCACATTTACAGAATGGTTGATTAATTTGCTTTATGAAAAACTAAAATCAATTTGCCGGCTGCTCTTCCTTTCCTCTATTTTCACATGTGTTTTGTGTGCATATAAGAAGTGTAACAGCAGCATCAACATACAGGTGCAGCTAATCAGGCTGATGTCAGCGGGTAACTGCATCCCCAAAGGACGGCAGACAACTATTCTGTCGTGTGCAAATCGCCACAGACCATTTAAAAAGTCCAGTAAGTGAACTACAGCGCTCGCTAAATGGTCAGCAACTGACTGCAGGCCAGTCATGTTGTGACATGTTACGACCAGTTATATGCCTTACTGCTCCGGGAAACAATTGTTTTTGAAATACAAAATAATAGAATTTTAAACATTGGATTAAAAACATGATGAATTGCCATCAACTTTTTTAAAATTGAGCATTAACCGCATTTTTAAAAAACATACCCTGTGACAGCCCTAATTTATATTACGGTAATACTGACATTTAATTTCAGCCTTTACCACCCTGATATTTTTGATCACTCCCCTCTGAGCCTCTCACCCATGCTGTTTCTCTCCCACCACTCACTTCCTGAGGAATCATACCATTGAATCTCAAGGGAGTAATTATTCCTCAATGCAGACCAAAGAGTCAGGATACAGCAGAGCAGAGCACACACACTGACATAGTGATGTTTAGCAGACTAACTGACCTATAATACATTTAGGATTATTCAATTACTGATTCCAGCCTCACTTTATCCCATGTTTCCCATTAAGAACGCACTTTGTCTGCAGTAACCACCAGCAAGCAGTGAAGCTGTGGGTAGCTTCAAAGAGCCTGTTACAGTCTCTTCTAATCATACACTTCAACAGCTGATGGAGAGGGAGAGATGAACACAAACATCCAGAACTCAGACCACAGAACATTTTAGTTAATGCAATGCTCCAGTGATCACACGGCGTGGATGAGCAGAGAGAAGACAGGGCAGTAGAATGAGGGCTGTAGTGGAGGATGAATACTTTACATGTTTTAAGGCTGGATCCTGAAGTTTCTGCCAAATCGCATTAACCACCAACTTTTGCAAGACAAAACGTACAACAAACTCAACACACCCTCTGCACGAAAGCTGGCAGTCAGAGAAGCTGTCTCAGGGTCAGACAAATGAATCACTCCTCAATTGATGAACGAAGGACATTATCAGATATATGCTAGGCTTTATAAGCAAAACATTAACAATCAGGTCCTTTGTGCTGTTTTGCCACTTGTTGATTATGTCTACCGTATTTTCCGCACTATAAGGCGCACTTAAAAGCCTTTAATTTTCTCAAAAAACGACAGTGCGCCTTATAATCCGGAGCGCCTTATATATGGATCAATTGGTTAATTGGTTGAACCATACTGGTTGTACACGGCGCTCAGCGACACTGACTCGGATAATGACGAGAGGGAGCCGGGCATGTCGGATGCCGTACTCGCCCAACTGTTCAATTCGGACACTGAAGAAGAAGAATTCGAGGGATTCGTGGACGGGGAATGAACTGAAAAAGTGAGCTTTACGTGTTATACGTAACTGAACAATGTTGAGTTATGCACTAACGTTTGAATTAGCGGTATCAGACTGTGTTTCTTTTACGTGTTTACAACTGAACAAGGCTGGGAGATATTGTTAATATGCACATTAACGTTTGAACAACGTTGAGTTATTGTGAATGCACTTGTGAATGCATTGTGAATATAAATATAAATACGTATAAAACGTATTTATATTTATATATTCACAATATCTCCCAGCCTTGTTCAGTTGTAAACACGTTCTATTCTATGCGCCTTATAATCCGGTGCGCCCTATATATGAAAACAGTTCTAAAATAGGCCATTCATTGAAGGTGCGCCTTATAATCTGGTGCGCCTTATAGTGCGGAAAATACAGTACTTGTTGCTGATATAATGTAGATTAATGTAGTATGATCTACAGTCACACACCATAACAAAATTGTGTTTTAAAATTTCATTCAAGTTGAACAAAGAATGTTTAAGTCTTGTTTTGTCAATGCCAATAATACAGCTTTTTTACATCTCCAGGACGTAAAAGAAAAGATTCAAACAGGAGAGAAACTGACACAAAATCAGTCATGTTTGTAAACAAAGCAGTAGACCCAGTTAGGTTTAATTCATTATCAGTTGAGGAACACACAAAAAGCTATTTGTAATGTTCATTTTTCTTCTCAAAAGGTGACTTTAGAGTTTATGTATCAGTCATTGATCTTTAATAGAAACCATAAAGCCCTCTTAATGGATGTTCGGGAATAGTGTACCCAGCCCCTTTCTTTGCCTCTGCAGCCCATGATCAGAATCTAAATGAATCTACGCAAAACTTCAGAGTAAGTGATTATTAACATTTATCGATTAAAAGGTAAAGCCCAAAGCTGTGGAAGAGCAGAATGCTTACAAACACACTTACTGGCTTGAATGAGCCTCTCCCCCGTGAAGACGTCCAGCTGCCATCTTTCTTGTTGTTACAGTCATCGGTCCACTGAAGGAGAGAAAAAAGGTGTTTATAGTCAGCCAAACACAGAGGTAGGGTAAAAATGAAAAACAGCAATTTTCTTGGGCTTTATTTATTTTATAAACGATTTAAAAAGGACAGTATATAGCAGCAGTGATGGTGGATGTATGCATTTTCTAGGATCACAATTACATTAACACAGAGAGCTGATAAAATCGGGGACTCTACCAGATAAAGCCAATAATAATCAGATATGAGCATAGTAAGAGCATGTCATCCATTTAAGTAATAAGACTCTGACCTGCGGCACCTTGTCACTATTGTCCAACTCTAACTCTCCATCTGCTTTGTCTCCCAGAAGCCCTTGCACCTGGTACTCCAGCACATAGCTGTCAATGAAGCGCTCCAGCTCCTCTATCTCCTGCGAGCGTGTGCTCCCAGCCTCAGAGGATGCAGACGCCACGGAGGAGTTTTCCATGGCAACTGGCGCTGTGACGGGTGGACCGGGAGGAGGGGGAGGGAAGGAGGAGAGTGACCTGTGAGGAAGAGGGAAAGAGAGATACAGAGAAAGGTAAGATAACAGTCCTGCATGAGAAGTATCTTACATGTTAAGACATCTACTTCCTTTGATTACATTAAACCCAATAATCCTTGGTGCATCTGAAAGTACTACAATAATAATTCACACATCTCTTACTTTGGTCCTCCTCAACTTTTTAACACTTCAATGAGGCACATGATCTCACTGCTCTCAAGACACAATCATATGCAATGCTTGCTTCAAGGTAGACTGTGCTGGTGTGACGCTACTGCAGGCACAGCCGATGTTTTCATCCAGATTATTTCCAATCAATATTTTTGATAAACCTTCAACTCATCTCTGCTAATTCCTCTCCCCAAACTTCCTCTGGTGTTGCCACTCATACACCTCTGTATGTCCGTTTCCCTCCTTGTTTTTCCACCTCTTCCCTGCTGTCTGTCTCTCCTTTCAGTGCTTGTGATCACCTGACTCCTGGCCAACAGGGAAGCAGCTTCACTCCAGCCTGCCTGCCTATTGCTACTAAGCTCCTTTACATCATGGCTTGATCACCGGCCATGCAAAGAGGATTTATGGCCCTGGAGCACGCAGAATTGTATCTGCTGAGCCCTGGGGACTCGCCTGGGGGAGCCCGGTACATTTGTAGCCAACAAGTCGCCTCACACAAGTTTAAACCCTTTGTTTTGGTTTGGACCACATGGATTACTAATGCCATGATCACGAGGAGTGCTTAAAGATTGTCTTTGGTCTATTTTTTTTTACATCAAATATGATGTCTTTAACTGCTGCACTATGTATAATAATAAAACAGCAAGCCAAATAAACCAAAAAGTACAACATTAAAAAAAAAAAGTTCTCAGTTGTACTTTTTAAAGACCAATAACAATTTTAACACGTTCACAACTACTGAGTAAACACTCGTTTGGGAAATCTGACTTCAGGTTCAGCGAAAGGCCAGCACCGGCTTCCTTGCTGAGCAAGAACCTGGAATCTGAATCAGGACATTATCTGCACTTCAGAATCTCCCTATTAATCGCAACCCTGCTGATTTTCTTTACGTACAAATAGAACTAACGCTTTAATCTCTGAATAGTATGTAGCAGGGTCAACATGTCCTAATCTGACCTACTGTAGTGTCAGTAGTATAATCCATCCATACATTGATGCCGGCGCGCTGATTAGCCTGATCACAGTTAGCCAGCTAGACAAGCATTAGCTCTGGGTCAGGCTGCAGCATTTTCTAAATAACAAACAGCACACAGGATGCATGACACTCATGAGTTGCTGCATATTGCAAATATAAAAAAGCACAACAGTATAGCATAAACAGTATAGCATATACAGTATGTCTTCACAAACATACACAGGAACTATTCTCATAAACTCGAAGCTCCTGTGCTGCCTCAAAAATTGTCTAAGGCAATGCACCAAATGTCAGACTAATTTAAACACATTTTCTAATATATTTTAGATATGTATAATTACCTGAGTGAATAACCAGTTCAATGCCAATACAGTTTCTCAGCCATTCCGGTCTCAGTACTAAAAGCTTCCTTAGAGAACTGTGCACATGGCAAAAAATATATATATCCCCAAAAATGTACGCTTGCTGCCTTGACACAGCTTGACAAAGTGAAGTGTCTTTTTTCAGTTGACTGTTACTTTTTTATTTTGCAGCGTCTCCAGGAGCGGCCAGTACACTCTGATAAATGAGATTCTTAATCTCGATGAGGCTTTCCCGGTTAAATCAATTTAAAATAAAATAAAAACTTGATTTAATCATACAGAATACTTGGTAAGCAGTTTATGAACTATTTTTATACATTGTAATGCCATTTAAAGCAGAGGTCTAGCTTTAAATCTTGTCACACTAAGTTTAAAGGATTCAATATTTCATAGTGTCTGGGAGGTTTTGATGGATGTGTACAACATTCAGCAGTGGACTTACTTTGTCTTCCGTTTTTAATTTTGTCCACTCCTAACCAATGTAAAGTTGTAGGTGCAGAGAGAAACTCTGTGACCATTTCACATGGATTCAAACTTTTTTGTGTCGACTATAAAGCTCCTTTTATCACAGCACAGTTTAAATGAATAGAGAAGCATTCGATAATAGAAGTCTGGATTTTGTAACTCTTTGATGCAAAGTGGAGGTGGTTGTAGGCAGCTCAGTCAGATGTCCTCCTCTGTCCTTGACATGTAGTATAGAGTTACTGCCTAAGGGGAAACTGCTGCCAATAGATATATTGACCCGTCCATTAATGCAGCTCTCATCTAAACCTCTGTCTTTCGGTCTTTTAATTAGGTTTTTTTTTTTCACATCAACCTTAAGTGACACTTTCCAAGAGAATCATGTGCTGAGCCAACAAATCACAAGGCATGTACAAGAATTTTGGTCAACCACAATAACATCATAGTCAATACCCAAAAAATACTTTTTCTGTGTCTTTATCTTGACTCAAAGTCCTTTTCACCAAGCTGCGTTTCACAACACATGATTCTAAACCGGCAATGCTCTTTCAAAAAACCTTTATGCTTGTCATTTCAGCTTTGATTTCCTTCTGGTGGATGAGCAAACACGTTGCTGTTCTACCCCTATATGAGACTGATGTTCCAGAGTAGCACATCATAGCTAATGCAACAGTCAACAACACAAAACACAGTCAACCCTGTAGCGTGCTAATGGTAGGCTGATGTTGTGGTTGAGATTAAGGCAAAGATTTCATCAGACCTAAATCAAAGAAGAGGCTGCTGACTGCATTTGGCATACATGAGAAAATATAACACACAAAAAAGGAAAATAAGCTGGGTCTCTCTGATCTTTGATCAAAAGAGGGACTGAAGGTCAGGCTCACAAATAGCATCCCCAAACTCAAGTGTCATTTTGCCAACAGACACACACAGAGAAAGCAGTGATATGGGTTCTCAAGTCATAAGATACTGATGCAATGACCAGGGAAAGCAGATGCATTATAAAAACAGTTTTATGACTTAAGCCTACCATTTTAAAATAATGACATGAGTAAGTCTTGCAACAAAACATAATTTCAACTCTCCATTATTTTTCTTCTTGATTATTGGGGAAGTGTAAGAGTTATATGAAGGATACCTTTTTATTAAACTGTTAATCATGAGTGCCACAAGATTATAAAAGTCAGTGCTTAGCTCTGTACTCCTTGATCCATTTTTTGTAGCTCAATTAATGTCGCCAAAAAAATAAAACATATCCTTGTTGTTTTTTTTCAATTATCAGCTAAACCTAACATTTAAAGGCCGTTCGAAATAGGTTCTTTAGAGAGTACCAGTGCCCTTATCTCACTGTGTGTGAATAGACAAAGTCAGTCAGACATTGCTCTAGTCTGAAGATGAAATATGTTGCAGTTTTCATCACACTGTGAGCATTCTTATTTGGCTTGGAAGTGGGTCAAGCATTGATCTTTGTCTGTCCGTCCCACCATCTTTTCCCTTCACAAACAACATCTTTCAGTTCCATATCCCACAAACCCTGACTCCTCCCCTGCCTCTTTCTGTCTCCACCCTTTTCTGTTCCTCCCTCAGTTCTACCAGCTGTTCCAACAAAGGGCTGCACTGCACACTTTAGCTTCAATGTGGCTGTAGATGACAAACTGGCATATTAATGATATCAACATACAACACTTTTATGCCTAGAAAGCCTGATCTTTGTTATGTCAACCTTCAAAACTAAACACGCTTATCAACGCCTTGGAAGGCCCAGGTAGGTCGATGACTGACTGTAAAATGCAGAGCAGCATGTATGGCTGTATAGCCTAGCTGAAGAATCTGCCCGAGCCAAGCACCATCCAGGCTGCACATATTAAACTGGCCAGACAGACACAGCGTGGCACTGGACTACACACTGTTTCCTTTGTTTGAGAGGCAGAGACAAGCACCAATACACACCATCTGTACTTCATGATAGGATAAATCAACATATAGGTGAGACAGTAGATCGATAACTTCAAATAAAAAAATTGCTCAACTAATAGTTTTGAAATATATAGCATGCCCAGTGCTTCATTAGTTATCGTTTTAACTATAATAATCTATATAATCCTATGTTAAGGATTATATTGTCTTCAATGATCATGTTTCTGTGATTCAAATGTTTAAAAAAATGTTGTGCTTGTGAATAATGAAATCAATTTACTATTCTATACATTTAATAAAAAATAAAGTATTCACTTCTGCATAATTCTACAACAAAAGACATGACAGCGATGTTGAATTGTCCCCTAGGGTTAAAAGACACGATGTTGCTACGGTATACAGCATGCCTATAAACATAGTTATCATGGCAGAGTAAAACAACATATCATAGGCCACGTTTTGCAGCCATTCACAACCTTTGAAGTGGTTACACAACAACTAAAGAGTTAAATACCATAATCCAGACAACCCAAACAGAGACAACATGAGACCCAGTCCCCCCCCAGTAGGAGACCAAGTCAATGTTCTCACCCCATGCAGCGTGAGCAGCTCATACAGCTAATCTGGTCTACTACTGACTGGCGGGCTTAACAAACTCACACATGGGCTTAAATATAATCGCGAGTAGTCTACTTATGAAAGCCCTATAGCAATAAAGCAGGTGTATAAGTGCTTTATTGCACTTACACACCTGCGGGAAAATTGTGGGAAAATTTGGAAAAAAAACTCACATAATGCATTCTGTATGATGTTGTGATGACCTTGTTGTTAATGAGTTCCTTTAATATTAAGTGCGATTTTGGTGGGTGGTGCCCATACAAAATGCTGCTGAAATAGTTTTAAAGGGGCTATGTTTGAATTGCTTGCAGCCTTTTTGCTTAACAGGGATATCAGGCTTTATGTAGCCACTACATTCATTTTGTTATTTTTCTTGCAATTCTATCTACATCCTGAGGGAGAAAGAAAACTAATATCTGTGTTGCCAAAAATGGGCCTGATTACAATTCAGAAAGCAAAAGCTAGCGAGCTAGTTCCACGAGGAGGGCAGAGAACAGCAGAGGGAAGTGCATGTTTGGGCAATTTTCTTTGATATTTTTCCATTTGGAAAATTTCTACATTGCTCTTAATCTTGACTTGTTTCTCCAAAGTATCCTTCCCAAACGTTCACTGAACCTGATCCTAGTCCTGCAAAAAGCCTGAGGACATAAAGAGTGAAACTGAACTGTTGAATTCAACGTTTATCGGCAGGATATGAAATCCTCAGTTCTTCATTTAAAAATCACAGTTTACATGCAGAATGTCACTGAAATACGTGTAAAATACAAATACTCCTCTGCTGGGAGAGCGAATCAGTTGTATCCATTCACTGTAACAAGCTGTTGTGAGTGACTGTGTTTACTCACACAGTATGGGCCGGGTGCCCTGATTCTAGATGCCTGGGCCAGTAGAAGAGAGTCTGCTCATGCTGCAGAGGGGGGGTCCAAGAGCATGTGCATGTGAGTGTACACTTAAAACAATAGACCCATTGTGCCCCTTTGCCCCTGTAGTGACCGAATGGGAGAGGATTGGGCATGTTCAAAACTCTGGAACTGTTAAGGACAATAGCCAAACAATGCTTTTCTGTCCAAATCCACACACAAATACAAAAATCCTGACAAACACACGGGGGGGGGGGGGGGGTTGAAAGCTTTACAACATATATAGAGTGAAAGTAGAAGTTGTGAGCCCTCAAAGCTGAACAAAAGTGAAAAGAGAAACAACAAAGGTCGGTGTGCAGCAAAGCCATGGTGGCCATTATTTGTTGAACACATAAGCTGATGTCAAAACAAGTAGCTGAGAACAAAAAGGTAAGCAATAGAGAAACCAAAACTGCACCAATAGTCCTGTGATAGTTAGTCATTGAAACATGCAGGCTACGTCGTTTCCTGAGAACTACATTTCTGCTTGAGGCCTTATTTCCTCAGCTAAAAGCCACCTCCTGTTATCTCACCTCATACAGAGCTCCTGTATGTCCTCATCATTACTCGGTTTCTATCGTTCCTCATTTCACACTCACTCATCCAAACACTTCAGGCCCCATAATGAGCAGCAGTTCCCACTGAAATGAGGCTAGATTTCTGCTATACAGGCTGAGTCAGGGTGTTCCAGTTTTCTACAGGCTACTCCCACACTCTCTATAACATGAAGCTGTTGTTGTTACTCCCCCACTCTCTACAAATACTGCATGCATTGAACTAAGGATGCGTCACAGTCCAATCCCCTAAAACTACCCCACATAACAGCGCTCGCTCAAGCATAAGATACAGAAGTAAAAATAACATGCTGCTACTGAAATCAATTCCGGCACTATTATTTCCGGCTTATCTTGGATCATTCTTCTATGTCCTATTCCTATTTGACCTCTGAGGGAATAGTTCACAGACATAATCATCACATCAATGTAGCACTCATGTGCTTGGGCTGCAGTTTACTGGTCTGATGATGCACTGCACTGTGTCTGCTTACAAGTCCCAAATGAGGCTGTATTTCTAGCCAATTTCAACCACCAGCCATTACCCATATTTCTTTAACAGTGACAAGGCCATGATAGTTTAAGTTTTCGATTGCTCATCGTTAACTTTCATAATTAAACTCAACTTTTGCTGCGATGTAATCACTTAAAGGAAACATGACACAGTGGAATTTATTGATGAACCACTCATAGCCTTGTCAGAGATAAAATGACAGATTAGATCAGTTTTATTTGTGAGGAGGACACTTAGCAAAGTGCTATTTTAGTTTCATTTCACACTTTAACTGTGATGGGATTAAGCAGTTCTGTAATCAAGCACACACTGTAACTTCAAGGGTTTAAAAAAACCTGTTAATAATATGTGGTTAAATCCTTTTTTTATTGAGCAGCCACAAAGGCACTCGATGCAAATCAAGATTGTCAGCATAATCTTGATTTCACTGAATCCTGATTCATTGACAATAATGGCTTTCTTCAATGAATTTCATTTTTTTCAGGATAAGGATACTGTCTTGCAGGAAGAAAAAACATTTCCTGTATCTTGTTAAGTTAGCAGTTGGTTATTAGGTTGTGTCACAATATGTTTTTAGTGCTCTCCTTTTATACACTGCAATTTCCTGCAAGTACAGGCCCATGTTCCAGCACTGACACTGTCACACACAAACATGTCACTGCATGCAACATCAAAACTTTCTTCTTTTTGCTAGGCATACCTTTGTCCGTGTAAAATCAAAATAGAGGAAGTAACATGAGTTCATAAATAATAGATTTGTAAATAATTAACACAGGTTTGACAGAACCATGATCACAATCGGTGAATCTAGTTAACTATGACGCCATCAACTTGGGTAGACTTTAGATGATAGACACACCAAGATAAATAAGGGTGACGGACACTGGCAGAACCTGACTTGCAACAAGGCAGTCTGATGAAATAGCAGACGCCTCAAGTTGAGGCGCCGCAGCTGTGTGGGCAACTTGGGCCTGGATCACACAGGGTAAACAGATATGCTCCATTTTCGGGATTGGATTTCATCAGGATCGGATACATTTGATGCAGAAAACCCTCTTCACCCTAACGCTATATAGATCGGGCAAATTTGATGTTGCTTTTTCATACCGGGGCACATCGTGTTTCGTAAGTCAGGAGGGTCTCTGTTGTGTGACTTGTGCGGTGGCACGCAAGCGTTCCTTCACCTCAGTAAAGTCACTCTGATCCAATCAGTCTGTGAACAGTAGGAATCCCAGGAATGTTATGAGCAAACTTGCCTTCAATAAAACGTAAAAGCACCAGTGGGGACAACTTGGTTTAAAGATTGTGAGCTTAGAATTTAAACCTACTTGCATCAATGTGTTAGTATAATTGCCAAGGGTGTTTTTTTTGTTTTCCAGCTCACACTGAACAAAAAATAATCCCTCCATTCCCCCTCAAACCCCCACACAGGACTACCTCACTGGACTGTAAAATACATATAACATACATCACAAACGTGCAATATATTTACCTGTATAGTAATTTTACTCATAGCTTTTCTTTTTATATCTATTTATATCTGCACCTTATTTTTCTATGTGAATACTTGCTGCTGTTTTATCTGCAATGTAAAGTACAAGTTTGAAAGACAATAAAGAAAGTCTAAGTCTAACATGGTTCAAGCTTGTCCAATCAACTGCTTATTAATGAAGCATTATACAAACCAACTACCCCAAACAAGTGCGTGTGTTTGCATCCAGTTCTGTAAGAGATGATTGCTCTTTTGTCAGATATGATTCAGGGTATGTTACTGACTTCTCTCGACAGTCCAGTCCTGCCACAGTCCAGCAGCATACGTGATCCACTCTTTTGTCAGCAGGGTCAACAGCTGACCAGGCTGCTGATCTGCCAGCTAGCTCAGCTCCTTTTACCAGGGCATGCTGACATATTGTTGCATTTATTTTTTTTTGAATGGCTATTCCTGTCATTCCAGCCCGGCTATTGTAACACGACGTGTTTCCCCAAACTGGGTGTGGAGACGACCTTTTACGACTGACCAATTATTATTCAATCACAACACACGCTGTAGCTTTTTCCCCCCCTTTCTGTTGCACTCCGTGTAACCACGCCCATGCTGCCTGGGAAGCTAGCAGTGCCATGCCTCCTCTATGTCAAGGGGGTTTATTAACCACGGTAGGTATTTACGGTGAGCACATGAACTTAAGCACCACAATGTCCCTGTCAACTAATAACAAAGCCACATCTGGAGGCGCCTCCAACAGCCTCCGCGTGTCCGGCCGAGTATCACCGGGTAACAAAGGTGACGCAAGCTTTGCGGGCTAACCCAGCCGGAGCTACCTACCGTTAGCAAGCTCTTAAGTCAAACAGTAAACAACAGGTCACTCAATACGACTAAAACCCGACTCTCACGTCAGCTTCGCTCATATCAACAGGTCTGTCGGTGGATGACAATAGACAAAAAAAAAAAAACGCGTCAGTCACAGCTAACAACGTCGTCTAGCTGAAACTGTTATGGTACCCATAGCTAAAAGCGTTCATACCGACAGATACCTCCCCCCGGCTTTAAGAGGGATAAATCCTTACCCGAAGTGAGCTTCGACTCCTTTTGGGGAAGCTGGGTTCACCACCCGGGATCAATTCCGCCTTGTCATGGGTGTGTGTGGTTTTTTTGTCCACAAGAAAAGTGGGGGGGGAGAGGATTAGGTGTCTAGAGGCGGCTAACTCCGACGTCCCAGGCAAGAGGAGAAAAAAAAAGGGAATGCAGGAATGTGACGTTCAGTCCGGTTCGCTGGCAGCGTTGACACGTGCACTCTAGAGTGAAGCATTGTGGGAAACGTGGTTCAATAACAAAGAGAGCGCTGCTTGAGAAGGTAATTGATGAATAACTGTTTTTTTTTTGTTTTTTTAGCTGTTACACACCCGGTATTGTTGCCTCACTACCTGATAGGATGATAGTGTTGATACAGTTCAAACTGTTTTACTCTGTTACTATAGGAACTTAATAAATGAAATATTAACAAAACTATCCATATGGTTTTAAACTTAACCAGCTAACCCTCACATGAATAAGATAAGATAATATATACTTTATTCATCCCAGCAGGGAAATTTAGGTGTTCCAGCAGCCACCATACATACAACATACACACATACATACATACATACATGAATTGCCCCCCGGGACAAATAGAGTTTTTTGAATTGAATTGAATTGAATTTGAATTGAATTGAAACACACAACACAACACATTTATACATGCATATCCCACCCATACAAAAAACATGAGCCCACAATACATAGCCAGGATAAAAGAAAAGTGGTATGGATGGTCCATGTGCATAAGTAGCTGTTACTCATAGATAACAGTACAAAATACTAGCTCTGCCAGTGCATAGTATGATAGATAAATAAAGAATTATTATAAAAAAGCAGTCAAGTGTACAAATATACAGGTGTAAAATACAGTTTGATATATGCAGCTCAGGCTAAAGTTTAAAAGTTTAAATGTCTTCTGTCCTTACTTAAAGGGGAGTCGTTATAAAGCTTAGCTGCCGTAGCCTCCCACTAAAAACACTCTTTTGTTCACACACGAGATTGTGTAAGGGATGCATGTTATTGTCCATAATGTTCAACAGTTTCTGTATCATCCTTCTCCCCATCACCACCTCCAGGGGCTCCACAGCAGTCCCCCGGCACAGAGCCAGCCCTCCTAATCAGCTTGTTAAGATTTTTAGAGTCAAAAGCCCTGATGCTGCTGCCACAACAGACGGCTGCAAAGAAAATGGCACTTGCCACAAGAGTCTGATAAAACAATCTAAGAAATAAAGACTAAGCCGATCATGAAAGACCTAAAGCTATATAGTTGGGAAAATGATCAAACATAAGACCAACTTAATATACTATACACTGCACTGGTATGTCAAAGCCAAACATCTTACCAGTTTACAAGAAAAAAAGACAGGAGTATCTATCACGATCATCAAAATTATATTTATAGCCTACATTTTTATCTGAAACGGACAATTTCACAAACTATGATCTACCCTTTTTTGAAAATAGGAAAGTGGGAATTAGTTCAAAACATATTTGGGCATATTTGCTTCTCAAGAGTTTCTTCATATGTGTTAATAAAATAAGCGAAAAATTACACACACATGATGGCAGCCCTTAAGTTAAAAAGCCCTAATGTGACATTATTTACCTCCTTTAATGTATCACAGAAGCAAAGATTATCTAGTGCTTGTAACGGGTTTGAATCCAGTCCCACTGTGTGGATTATTTCCCCTCTTTAGCTCTTTCAAATTTATGAAGGTGTTTTTTTTTTTTGTAGTTGTTGAAAGTAATAATTTGGTAGTTTGCTCAAACAACAAAACACGTGAATATAATAAACATTAAAAATGACATTCAAAGATGATGCTTCATTTATAGGGAACAAGTGTTGCAAATTAGCATCCACTATAAACACTATGATACTTGCATTGGATTGCTGTTTTCAGTTTGTCTAATGAAACGTAAAACAATAAAAAATGATTTATCCGTCTAAAATCCTGACCTATACATCCTCTCATAGAAAGAAACAACTTTGTTCAGACTAAAATCCACTGACTCTGATTACACCTCCAAGCAAATACAAATGACCCACTGAACAATATTTTGATGTAATTATGACCCCTTGTGGACAAACAGAAAAGCACAGTTGGTGGACTAGGCTGCTACATTTCTCAGTTTTTGGGTTATTCTGTAGTTGTTTGAACGTGTGCATATTAAAAAACAGGGTTTCACAAGTGTCCCTTTTAAATATAGTAGACCTGCATATAAACATTGAACAGAACTTAAATTAGAGTCAGTCAGACACAGAAAACAGAAACATATCAACTCAACTCAAACCTTACCTCCCTTCTCGGGGTAGCTCCACAATGTCCCCCACCACAGTCAGAGGCTAATTAACAACTATGGTGTGATGAGGACTCCAGCAGGTAACTTCACCCCCCCCCCACACACACACCCTCATCTTCCTTTCCTTCTCTGTCTCCCTCTACTCTCAGCTGCCTCGCCCAGTCTTCTGTCTATCCTTAGTAGTCCCATAATTACTTTGTTGTCCTCCTCACATCACCCACAGTACCACAAGCTATTCATCTCCCTTTTCCCCTCCCATACTGCTGTGCTCCTGCTCCTTTTCCTTTCACATCAGCTCACATGCACTCACCAAAAGACACATTCTTTTGATATGCCTGATATGTGAAACAATCATTGTTTCTGAGCTCAGCAAAGTCAGCTGCAGATTAGTTTTCAATCAATGCATTTACTGAATTGGGTATTTTAAGGCGTATGTGAAGTTATGGTGAAAGAGTTGTTACGTTTATTTTTAGTTTGTTGCCAAGGAAACCATTATGTTAAACTTCCTTCCAACACTTGATGCAATTTAGGTAATACTGGAAAAAAAATCCAAATTGACCTCTTGTGTTTTAATGATGTCGAGACATCCACACAAAAGATACTCCTTTAAAAAAAATGATTGTGTCCAGTCAGATATGTAGGACTATAGCTGATCTATGTTTTAGAGTTTTTCATTCCAACAAGAGAATGCAAAAACCAACATCTGTTCATACGTCAGTAAATTGCTGGGATAAATTATGAACTCATCATTGCACTATTAGGTTATTTGAAGCACAGAAATGAATATGTTATTAAAATAAGTAACTCAGGCAGATAAAGTAGAGTAGAGTTTTGGAGAGTCAAACTAAATATACATTTTAAATGTGACACTGTCATTTAAAACAACAATATGCAAGACTGTAAAACTGTTAAACTTTGAATTCCTAGCTTTATAGATCTGACACATGAAAAGTAAATGTCCACCAACACAGAAGTTCATTCACATCTTAAGTATGACGATAATGTCTTTGGATAACTTAAGTTTTTGAAACATTATCATGACTCATGTAAGTAGTTGCCAGGTTTCTACCCTTTAGAGTGATCTTTGCAGTTTATGTCTTCTCTCATGTTGTTTTATGGTCGGTACAGTAAATTCTGAGCCGCCAGAGAAAGGCTTGAAAGAGAAGCATGAGGCTGAATTTGGCCCGTCTCCCCAGGTCGCCCTGCACAAAACTCAGTCCCCACCAGAGGGATGGTACCAAGGCACCAATTAGAAGTTGAGAGGGTGCATGATGATATTTCCGTGTGCTTGTGGCCGGGGCAGCTCCGTCTGTGTGTTATAAAAGGCAAAACCATAAACATGGAATTAGACGCTGCAGGCCCCGCAGCTCTTAAGGTCACAGACTCTGCCCCTCCTGTGGCTTTAAGAGCAACGGTGTGATATAAACAACACCGGTCAGAAAACTGTCGGTGGGCTGATTATTTGTGCTCATTAGTTTGTAAAGTTCATTAGGTGCTGCAGAGGTCCGCTATGATTCTGTTCTTTTTATTGTTAGGTGGAGCAAGTGCAGGAGAAAGGCGTGGGAGAAAGATCACTGGGAACTAGAAAGAGAGAAACTAAGTGGGTGGAAGTGACTGAACATGTCTTTGTGTAAAAAAAAAAAAACAACACACACAGCTTCTCAAACACACAATATAACGTTCAAATAAACACACCGATGTTGGCTAGGATTCAATTTGTTGAGTAACAAAAACATGATAGCGTTCTAACCAGCAGGTGGGGGCAGCAGACAGATCATAGCACGGAGTAGTGCTATTATAACTTATCCCACATACACAGGGGCTGGAAAAGAAAATCATGAAATACTTAACATTCAATGCAATCTATTTAAAACTGTATCCCTGAAATAAACTCTGCTGTTGTGCAACTGAACTATATTTTTGTTCAGACTGTCAGAGGTGGATTGATTCAATTCTTTGGTTAAAATAATAAAACTTTAAGACAGATTTCAACTTATTTATCAAGAACAAACCGACCAGAAATCTCTACTCAAACTAATCCTTTAAAATCGCAATCGCTCAAAAAGTCTAACCATGTTAATCTTTTATGGGTCCAAAAATCCCAGTGACAACAGTTTCTTATTTCGTAACAACAGGGCTTTTTTTTTAACTGAGCAGAAAAACAAATGGAAATATGTGGACATGTGTATATTTTTTGCAAAGCTTGTGCATATAAATGGATCAGTTTCAATTATTCTTAGGTTTGGTTGCTATAGGGTAAACTTTTAGAACAGATCCTAATCACAAAAAGCAAACACTTCAACATACAATCATTTTGAAAACTGATTCAAATGCTGGTTAAATTCTTCATTACCATTTAACATTCAGTCTATTTATTTAGTCACAAGACAGCCAGGGAGGCAAGAAAAGAAATCATGTAGAACAGGAGATCATATCTTGTTTTGAGTTAATTAACAGTCCAGTTCTTAAAGAATATATATTTACTGAAATGCTCAAGAAAATTGTCAAATTTTGTTGCAACCATTATTTTTTGTTAAAGCATTTATTGATCAAATAATGACATAAAGAATTCAACGATTAAACAGTTGATGTTTTTTAACAAGTGATGAAGTTTTTGTTTAAAAAGAACACACTATTATATATATATATATATATATATATATATATATATATATATATATATATATATATATATATATATATTGATGTCTAATTTATATTTTGTACTGTCTGGATGTGCATTTTAAAGGCTGATCTATGAGGGCGTTAAAAATAATTTTAGGCCGTTAATGCTTTAGCCTGTAGAATAGGTTCCATTCGTTTATATAAAAATAAATTTGATAAACAGAAGTTTCTTTGCAGCTCTTTTGATTTTGGGTATTTGATTGTCAG